TAACCAGATATACTCAAATATACAGTTATTATTTCAACAACCCATTGTACTGTGTGAAACACATTATATTGACTGATTACACAATGACTGATGTTTTCAAGCCTTTATTTCTGTGAACTATGATGGTTCTTTGCATACAGCGAGTGGAAATTAAAAAACATAAATATTACAGAACTGTGGGCATAGTGAAAAGTGTGTTTAATACTTAAAGGTACTTTTAAGAATGTAAAGGTGGATGTCTTAGGAATAGAAAGTTTTGTGCTGTTCATTATTTTTCCATAACAATAAAAACAGCCTTAGCCATATTTGCTAAATGACTAAAAGTCTGTGTTCTATAAGCTCAACTTCAGGTTAAACTTATAACATAAATGAATTTGTGCATCTTTGCTATAAAGGATGACCAGTAACTGCAGGAAGACAGAGCTGAATGGTAGCATACGATCTGAGAGTGTTCAATTACTGTCACCACAGGTGTTCTCTGGGCTCAGGATGAGAGAAAATGGAGCAAACCACTGTCAGGACTTAGTGTTAGACGGCACGTACAGCCTGCCAACCAAAGCAAAGGAAGGGATAGTGAGCTGAATCCCAACACCTGGCTCTAATGAGATTGGCATGCACACCCCGCAGACATTAGCTTCAACTCAGCCGTGTGAAATGTAGATTCTTGGAGATGGCAAAACCAACAGGATTAGCTTCTTTTGTCCTCCTACTGTATTTTCCAGTAGTGCGGCGTTGCGTCTACCTCACACAATTATCAGAACCGCAGGCTCAGAAAACCCTTCACTGTCAGGCTGTTTAGAATCTGGAGGAGTTAACTGTTCGTATCCAATCATGCAGCGCAGCAGCCATTTGTTGCTGTTTGTCTTTTCACAGCTCTTTCTGATTGGTGCTGTGCCTCATGGTGAATCTGTTTTTTCACAAGATGCTATGCTCAACATCAAGCAATTAAAACTTTAATTAGGCTGAAATGAGAAACTGTCTCTGATGCTTAATTTCTCATTTACTCATGTAGGAGAGAGGCTATGAAGTTTCATTAGCTTTGCCCACCAGGATACAATATAGATCTGCTTTAGAGTCAAACAAACTTGCTTCATAACTTTTTTATAACTTATTTGAGATTTAAGATTAAGAAAACACAAGCATACAGTGTGCATTAAACCATTTCAGGTTATCGAGTTTCGGCAGCATCAGAGATTTCCTCGTTGAAAAATTTGTACTTGTGCTTAAAGTAAAATCTAAATGAAAAGTTAATACATAAAAGCAGAAAACGTCTACAAAATCAGTGAGTTTAAAATAAAGTCTTCATAAACATTTGTCTTTAAACTTTGCAAGCTTTTCTTTTTCTGTGTATCTGCTGTGGTGCATCGGTTTGGAATAATTCTCCTTAAATTTCTAAAACCATTAGGAACTCTTGGGCAAACGGATCAATTGATTTTAATCCATGAGGACTTTCAGGAAACCCAGAGCCTGCTTTGGTTTGTCTGGCCAACCTGAGATAAGGAAACTAAATATAAACTCAGCTCTGTTATAAACTGAGCTGTGCGCCGTTTTTGCTCCCAGATACAGCAACTGTAATGCAAACCAATTATCTACATGCATGTTCGCTCTTTTAACAAAGCTCCAACCTGAATATTGATGCAGTCTGGTGCATCTGAATTTACATTTTACTGTGGGACACTGAATACAAAGCGGACTGGATTCTTTCATTTTTAAGGCTGACTCATACTTTTCAGGTTCAAGGACTGTGCCTACTGTTGCATAGCTTCAAAAGATTTTGGGGTGATGAAAGTGATAATCTGCTTTCGACTCTCTGCCAACTGTGCTTGTTTCTTGGACCGTACAGGCTCCCTTTTGAATCAAAAATGAGGATTGCTTTCTTGTCACTGTCTGCCAGCCAACATGGTAAAGTGTTTGACTTATGATTGGACTCCCCCCTTAAGATTGAGCAACTGAACTCAGAGGGCTAAACAAACCACCAGCAGCCTGAGGAGTCCATCAGTATTCTGCTCTCATACTTGAACGCAGCAACACGCCAGTCTGTTCGCTTTCTCACAATCCCACACCGCCTGGCAGATTGTTAGTATTCTTTGTGCTGAAATTTGGTTTGCCCTGTATGTCACAGCTGGCATGTCTTCCTGTTATGTCTCTATGCTCCTGCTGCAGTTAGGGGCGGTTCAAGCTGAAGGAAGGAAACAGAATAACTGAGGTAATTGAGTTAATTTATCTGACTACACAGGTGTCACCGAGCCTGACTGTAAAAAATATTAGCAAATCCAAACATGTGGGAGCTTGAATACTTAGTAAACATGAACAGCTTATGAATTATTCCTCAGACATTCAGCTGACTTGAGGTGAATTTTGGAGCATGCTCTCATTTAATATGCAGCCCTCATATTCCTCACCCTGTCCTTTCATCTAATTTCTTTTGAAGAGCTCAGAGGGATTATTATGTTTCTTCAAGATTTAAAAGTTATGCATAAACTCACCAAACACATCATTGGGTACACCTGAATACTGCTTAACATAAACAGCAAATCAGCCAATCAGATCACAACAACTGCACTTTAGGTGCATTCAGGCGTCTGGATGAGGTGAGGATGACAGGCAGCCAAGTTCAAAGTGAGCATCCAGATGCAGAAGAAAGAGATTTAAATGATGTTAAATGAAACCTGACTGACTGCTTTAAATGTTGATCAACTGGGATCTTCATGTAGAACTATCTATGTCATGCAAAATCCACATTTTTACATTTTGTTGTGTACTGGAGTGCAGTAAAGCTGTCACAAAAAGGTCACATGAGCCAAATGCATATTTTTCAATCTGTTCAGTTTTTCTATTTTGTATTACATTCTTTGAACTATTGTGACACAGTGTTTGCTGCACAACTGTGAATCCAGCATTTTCATTTCTCACAGCGTTTTTACAGTCCAAGTTCAAGGATGTTGAAGCTACAAATGAATGAGTCAAAATGTTTGGTTGTGGGCGTTTCAACCCACACGGCTCGTCTCACCGTCCCGTAGCGTCTGGGCGCTGAAGCAAGGGCTTCATTCACATTTACAAGTAAAATAGAATTTAACCAGGGACGTCGAAGAGGTTCTCTCCCAGTATAGAGATTCAAAATAGATTACAGTATCAAGAGAGCTTTTCAGAAAGACTTGGTCTGGTTGAGGGTCACTTCCTTCTGTCTGTTGAACCGACGGATTCAGCCATGAGGTAAGCAGCAGGTAATGCTAAATGAACAACTTTAATGAAGTTTATTGTGTTGACATCCTGGTTTTGATAGCATTAGCATCGAGCCTTCTGCTTCTGTTAGCGCTGTGTGCTAGCTGTTAGCTTGTTGAGGACAGAACTGCACTGCGTGTTTTGGATATTATTATTGCACAAACATTTTTTTTGTGTTTTTTCCATGTTTGTCTTGGGGAATACATGATCCAAATGCATTCATAGATAGATAATCGTATCTCTGCTATAAACCTACAAAAATAGCCGGATGGAGTTTAGTGAAACACTACGACCTGAAGGTGTGTGAAGTGGCTATTCACACATAAGGAGACGGCATCAAAAACGAGTTGCTCTCACCTCAGAAGACAAGTAACATAATCTGTGGAGCTACAATAACGAGGAATTCAGACTTAAGCCTTTCAGTTCCTCTTTATAGACCCCAACTGAATGATTTAAATCTGAAAAGGAAGGATTTAATAGTATGATATGTTCACTTTAAAGATAATGGTTCAAGAAAGAGAAAATATCCAGTGAGCAGAAGCTGTGTGGGTAAGAAATGCCTTGTTTCTGTAGAGCTGAGAGGAGAAACTTACAGTTACGGTAAACTTTGCAGCAGATGGGCCACCAGACAGCAGAGCCACGCCTGTCAACAAGGACCTGAGACTGCAATTCACACTAATTGGGCACAATTGAACAGTAACACATTGTAAACATTGCCTGATCTAATAAGTTTCATTTTTCTGAAAGGTCAGAATTTGGTGTGAACAACATGAAACTCTCAGTGGTTAAGGATGGTTAGAGAAAACTGATAAAATTAGATTTTTCAGTGAAACCAGAACTGTCACTGTTTTTAGAAATTAAGTTTAAAACTTTTTGTCAGAAAATGCTGATTCATTTAAAAGGTTTTTTTTCTCTTGTCTTCCAGACAAGAAAATGGACTTTAATGTTAAAGTCAAAGTTTAGACTTAATTAGGCAACATTTACTATGTAGATTAAAACATGAACACAATGAATAAATGGTAAACAGTTACTTTATAAATACACGGCAGATTCAAGGCTGACTCCCAACCTTCAGTCTGAACCTTTAAACTTTTCTGAAACTCTTGTGGGGTTCAGGTCCGCTTCTTTCTTTCAGTGGTGAATTTTAAAGGATAATCATCCTGTTGGTCATTACAACTAAGTGCTGCGTTTCATAAAACCAGTTCTGAAGTTTATTGACTCTGAACACACAGGATGTTTTAGAGGAAGATTGTTTTCTGTCTGACGAAGTTGAAATAAGAGAAATTATCTTTGAGCAAAGTTACCTCTATAAGCCTGACATCGGCATTTTATTTCAAATACTGCAGTTTGAAAATGTTAATGAGAAATAAATCTTGATTTCTGAAAATGACAATGAAAAAAGCAAATAATTATGTGAAAACCACCAAGAACTAATGTGAGTCAAACATAAGCCTCTATGTGAGCTTCAGTTTATCAGTACAAACGTCTCTGATCAAATGAATAACCAGACTGCTCTGCTGTAGTGATGCATGGATGAACAGTAGTTCTCTTCTGGCTTCAAGCCTGGCTGCAGATTCCTGGTTGGATTTAAGTCTGAACTTTGACTAGGCCATCCTACCTGATGAAACCGCTCTTATCTAAACTTCATTGTAGCTCTGGCTGTATGTTGTTCTGCTGGAAGGTGAGCCTTCAGTCTGTTGTGTCTTCTTTTACTTGAGGCAAACCGCCAACAGCTCCTTTCATGGGTTTCCTTTTGCCTCTCTTCTGTAGAGGTCAGGTCCTCCAGAGGCGGCTCCTGGCTGCGTCTCTGATCAATGCTCTGCCTCCACACACACTCAGTTCAGATGAATGATTGATTATTGATAGGATTGCAGTTTCACCATCTTCTCTTCATATCACGATGACGTTTGGAACAGAGCTCTCTGAGATGTTCAAGGCTTAGGAAATTATTTCATCAGGTAATCTAAATAAATGTATCTTCATAAAAACCTTTGATACCTTCACAGACAACCAGACTGTTGTTTTCGGTTGCTTCTCACAGGTCTGGACTCTCAGTTACTGACCAACGATTGCTTGCTTGAGGCGGGGACTCTGTTGAAGTTTTAAACAATCGGATCTGATTTTACCCAAATGCTAACATTTAGCCATAATGCATGTAACGCATTAGCTTGATCACGAAGGAAGCTAAGCTATGATGCTTATTATCAACTGAAAATTCCTACTGCAAAGAGAGAAATGTTGAGCCAGTACTAAGATGTCATAAACTTTCTGTTTGCTCTGACTGACGGCTCAGGATTTGGAGCCGGGTCGAACGCAGGTTGAATACTTTCCTCTGAACTCCAGGCTACAATCCGCCTCCTGTTTGCTGATTGGTTCCTCCTGAACCTCTGTCACCCTGTAGATGTTGATTTTAATTGCAGTTCTGTTAGACTAAATGTGTAAGAATGTGTGTGTGAACGGGTGACTAATTGCAGTGTGTCAGGATCCCCTGGTCTTGATAAAATGCTGTACAGACCATATACCATTTAATTTGTTAGAAAGGTAAAACCAGTTAACATTTTGTTGTATTTTGTGTCCATTATGTCTGTTTGTTAAAACGATGGGCTGTGATTTCTTAACATGAAGCCAGTCTTGCTCTTTCTTGTGATCTCTGCTCTTTTCTCCTCATTAGAAACTCCAGTCACCTGGTTTCACCTCCTTTACCCTGATCATATGTAGAGCTTCTTTGAATTTCTCTTAAACACAAGATGAAAACCATCCATTGGCATCCTCAGTTTGAGTGGAGTCATCCTTGATCCCACATGGCTGCTGCAGACTGAAAAATCAAAGCAGACTATGTGAGCCATTAAGGACCAAACATGCAATGCAGCAGCCATTCGACTTTGTTTACAGTCATTACTGTTTCTGCCCTGCTGTTCACTCCTGTGGTCCAGATAAAGAAATTAAAGTCAAAGGATGTATATCACTTCTCTTTAGTTTGTTTAAAACAGAATAAGGAATGTCTGCATATTTTCCTTCCTCTGTTCTTTCAGTGGCATAAAAGATCAAGCACTCACACGTCCAACTTTCCTGCCAGCCTTCTAATCCGTTTTCACACAAGAATGGCTCCGGAAAATGTGTAGACAGTTTGGTCAGACTTTTTCCACTCTTGGTGCTCACACATCCATATCACAGTGGGAGTTTCTGTGCTGGAGGAGAAGCTTTACAGCAAGAGATGCAAGAGGGCCAGCCAGAGGGAGCGGGGAGGATCCAGAACATGATGCAAACGGAGCGGCTGTGTGTTTGGGACATGTGCTGATGTCATCAATACATTCATTAGACAGTATCCAGGCTGTGATTGGCTGTCGAACTGCTCCAGCATTCCCATTCATTCCGAACAGGATTTGGGATAGGCAGAGGATTTTCTGCACCACATGAAGAAAAAAAAAATAATTATATATGTACATATAATTTTACATAAACCACAGATGTATGCATTTTTTATTCCAACCGTATTCTCTATGGACACATTTACTCATTACAAAAACATCAACAAGCTGATGCAGCATCCTGCTCAGAGCCAGTGGACCTTTGTGTCCGTCTTTGTTGCTTCCTATTCGACGCCCAACGTTACATTTGTGAGCAGAGGAACTGCAGCTTGCAGAAAATGCGTTGAAGCTTCTGGGCTGATCAGTGCAATAAAAACTCCAATAAGTGCACAGATGTGGTTTGTGAGTTTTAGGCAAATCATTATACGACATAGTGGCTCATCAAACTTTGAAACTTATTTTCCTTCAGCCCAGCTTGACTGGAATGGGAAATAAAAACAGCAAGTGGAAAGAGATTTAATGTCTGGACATCTGGATGTTTAGCTTCATTAAACATTTAAATAAACTGATACTTTTACTAATAAGAAGAATTGAGGCAAATAATGAAATCCTCTGATAACATGTTGGTAGTTCACTGGTCCTGTTGCTGGAGTTTGTAGATTTAAAATGATGATGGAAGGTGGGTTTTACAATATTTTCTGTTATTAAAATATTGGACATCAGCTGGCAGAATATTTCATAATCCCCACCTTTAGAGCTTACATTGCTTTCTTGCTTTCAGCTCTTATTGTGCCAATCACCCCAGATGTGGCAGGACTCTGTCAAACCGTTGTGTGTAATTTCCCCTAAAAGTGGGT